GGGGGGGCATTGGGTTGGCTTTGTTGCTAGTAGTTCTGAACCAAAGAAACCCTGAAGTACTCACATGCAAAATAGTCTGAACTTCCCCCAAAACATTCAAACACCCCCAATACAACACCCTTCGAAGTCTGAAATCTTGCAGCAGCTGAGCTGTAGTTAAAGCTGCAAGGCTCACAAAATCAAAGCCAGAATGAGACAATGCATGTAGGAAATCTGAGCAGTTAGTCTCAACCTGTTTTTCCCTGATTTTGGAGAAACGCGAATACACCTGATATGGGATACAGAAAGGCTACTGGAGCAAGCTGGGTCTTCTACTGAGTTTTTCATCAAATACCAAGGGAAAACAAGGAGTGGGGTTCACTTTATTTTTTAAAAGCCTCAGGAATTATTCTATTATAAAGGGACATGGCTGAACAGGTAGGAAACAGATTCCCCATTGTGAGTTCTCCGGATGGCTTCTGCAAGGATCATGGAGATGTCAATCACCTAGAAAGGCAAGAAAAGCACCAGGTTAGTTTCAGACACAGATGACTGGCCAGTCTGCACACCGATGAGCAGCCTAATGAAAGTCCTTCCTCTTAAGATTGCTGCACTGTGCTGTCTCCCCTTGTGAGCCGGCACCCAGATATTCTTCGTAACATTTTAAATATAACCACATAGGATAGTAAAAATGCTAATGGAGGAAAAGTTCTGACTCAGACTCACCAAGATGGTGGTGCGTTGTCATTTAAAAATTCTTAGAAATGAAAAAAAAATTTCAGCTGGAAAATAATCCTTAAGAATGGCATCAGCCCTCCAATTCTACATATTTCAGAAAGGGAACAGATTACCGTACACATAATTAAGCAAAGGCCTTGTGTTTTAGTGCAACAGCATTCAAAATTGAGTGTCTAACAATTACTTGCGGAATTACTTTAAAGCAGTTGTCCCAGGATCTCTGGTTTTGTAGGTGTTCGTTTGTTTTTTTTAAAGAAATTTTATTGGGGAACATGTGGTTTTCCAGGACTTATCAGCTCCAAGTCAAGTAGTTGTTGCAATCTAGTTGTGTGTGGAGGGCGCAGCTCAGCTCCAAGTCCAGTCACTGTTTTCAGTCTAGTTGCAGGGGGCACAGCCCACTGTCCCATGCGGGAGTCGAACCGGCAACCTTGTTAAGAGCGTGCGCTCTAACCAACTGAGCCATCCAGCCGCCCACCGGTAGCTCAGCTCAATTCTTCAATCTAGTAGTGGTGGGGGGGTGCAGCTCACTGGCCCATGTGGGAATCGAACTGGCAACCTTGTTGTTCAGAGCACACACTCTAACCAACTGAGCCACCCGGCCGCCCCTGGTTTTGTAGGTCTTGAATGGAGCAAAGGAATCTGCATTTTAAAAAGAACACTAGGTAATTAAGTTAGGTTGTTTTCAGAGCAACTTTGAGAGACTCTGGAGTTCTAAGGAGTGTACCACCAATTTAAAGGTTTCACATTATTTCTGCAGGGACCAGCAGTTAAGAGTGACACACACATATTATAAAACATGGACTTGCAAACTTGCATGAGCATCACAATCATGGAGGGAGCCTGCTAAAATGGAGAATCCTGGGCTTCATCCTCCAGAGATTCTGAGGTCAAGCAATCTGAATTTTTAAACACGCAATTTTTTTAACTTTTGGATCACAGATCCTGATGACAGACTAAACCCTTAAGAACAAAGCAGGAAATCTGGTCATTCAACACATGTAACCACCTCCTGAATGCTTCAGTGGAGTTTTGTTTTGCAAGAATCTCACCCTCACCTGTATTTTGGAACAATGCTTCATCTTATCCTCCTGAGGTATGGTATTGGTGACTACGACAGCTTCAAAGCAAGCGTTGTTAATACGAGAAATGGCTGGGCCAGAAAATATTCCGTGGGTCAAGATAGCATAAACTCTGGTGGCTCCGGCTGAGAGAAGTCTACAGGAAAAAGCAGAGTTGATTTGGGTTAATCTTATTTGTCACTATAGAATCTGAGTTAGGAAGGAGGAGTGTATTAATCAGTGTGGCTGCCATACAACAGACTGGATATAGCTTAAACAGAATTTTATTTCTCATAGTTCTGGAAGCTGCGAAGTCTAAGACCAAGGTGACGGCAAGGCAGGTTTCATTGAGGCCTCTTCTCTTGGCTTGTTGGCTGCTACCATCTCCCCATATGTTCACATGACCACTCTGACCTCTTTATGTGTACACATGCATAGGGAGATGAGAGGGAATGAGCTCTCTGGTCTCTTCTGAACTGCACCAATCCCATCATAAGGACCCCACCCTGATGACCTCATCTAAACCTAAATACTTTCCCAAGGTCCTATCTCCAAATACCATCATCGCATTGGGGGTTAGGGCTTCAATGCATAAAATTTAGGGGGCCACAATTCAATCCATAGCAAGGAGAGAGGACTGGACTAAACTTATCTGAATAGGTCTGGATTAATGTAAAAGGGCTGTAGCAGACTGCTACACTCAACAGAATCCATCTCCTCTTCTTCCTGGGCAAACGACTGGACTACATTTCCCAGCCTCTCTTGCATAGTTAGGCATGGCCAAGTGACTTAATTCTGGCTATCAAAATGTGAGCACCATTTCCTGGCTGAGCTTATAAAACTCCTCCATGGGTGAACAATCTTCCATGCTCTTTTCTCTTTTTGGATGGCCAAAATGGAAATAAATGTCTTTGAAAGGAATCTTGGAAGCCACACATTAAAGATGCAGTGCAATAAGACTGCAAGAGGAGTACTTGCAGTAGAGTATGCAACAAGCAAGAAAGAAACTGCATCATGTTAAGCCTCCGACATTTCAGGGAGTTGATGTGTTACAGCAATTAGCATTACCTTACTAATACCAGAACAAAAGGAATTTTATGAATACTCCAGGATCCAAATCAGGACTCATTTAGCACACAAATATTTTTTTGGCACCCATTATATGCCAGGCCCTGTGCAAGGCATGCTTAAAGGTTAAAAAAAAATGTGATGAGAAACATTGCTGCCTGGAGTGGCTTGGATTGTAAGCACTTAAAGTTTTAAAGGTGAGGAATGATGGGATCTAGCCTTAGGTTTTAGGAAGATTTGCAATTGGGACGGCAATGTGAAAGATGGACTGGGGAGGTAGGAGACTGAGCAGACGGAACAGAGGGAAGGTATTTTAGAACAGTGCAGGCAAGAGATGAAAATAAATTTGAATGAAGGTAAGAGCAGCTAAAATGGACAGCCGAGAAGTAAGACTAGGATTTTAGGCTTAGGTAAAATATAAACATGAGAATACAGAGAGTGCCAAAAAAAATGTATACGCATTTTAAGAAAGTAAAACTGTATTAAAATTGTAATACTCGGGCTGGCCGAGTGGCGTGTTGGTGAGGAGTTGGCTTGGAGTGCCAGCTCTGAGCAGCAGGGCCCCCGCTCGGATCCCTCATTAGGGCCAGTGATGCTGCACCCTCTACAGCTAAGATGGTGAACAACAGCTCGACCTGGAGCTGGGCTGCCTTGAGTTGTGTGTGATGGCGTAGGCTGCAGTGGGGCTGGCCGGCAGTGGGCGTGAGCTTTCGTGAGCTGAGCTGCCGTGAGTGACCGTCCCATGGCCAGCGAGCGACTGCCTCACCCGGGAAGAGTGCAATGATCACAATACCAACAAGGGCCAGTGAAGCGACGTCCTCCACAACTAGACTGAAGAACAAAAGGACAGCAACTTGTCTGTTTCCCTTTCCTGATTCCCCAACGCTGTTCCCCTCCCCCAATTCCCCAATAAAATATTTAAAAAAGTGTAATAAAATATACTGGTAATAAAAGATGAATACAAGCCATCTCTGACGTCTGAAATTGCAAGATGTGCTCAAAGTGGTTACCATCAGTGTCCAGACACTTCTGATTATGGTCAACCACTGATTGAGTGATGATGACCAAAGTTTCCACTTGTATACATTTTTTTTGGCACCCCCGGTATATTTCTGTCTGCTCAGGCCTGTGGATTTCTACCTTAACTTGTTTTTTAAAAAAACTATCAAAAATAGAGTATTCAGAGTGATAAAAAATTTTTGGAAATATAGTGGTGATAGTTGTACAACACTACAAATGTAACTGATGTCATTGAAACGTACAGTTAAAATGGCCAATTTTATGTGATATATATTTTAATACAATAAAAAACAAAAAACTAAGGAAATCGGATGGGGGGAGAAAGAGTACTCATCAATGTATACATACTGCAATTCAAGCCTAGGGTGATAAAAAACTCCCAAAGCTAGTTATCATGTCCTCAATTCAGTTCCCAAAAGAATCCGCAGGCTTAAGGCAACTCAGATAGCTGTCACTTTTTACTTCTAACCTCCAGCCCCACCGCTCAGCACTCACTTGTCAGCTGCATGGCAGATTGTGCCACAAGTGTCAGCCATGTCATCCACTAGGATGGCCACCCGGTCCTTCACGTCTCCCACCAGCACCATGCGGTCCACTTCATTGGCCTTCTTCCGTTCTTTGTGAATCAAGGCAAAGTCCACATTCAATCGGTCAGCAATGGAGGTCACTCTGCAAAACCAGGTGTTTACAGTTAAAACCCGCATGTGTAGCTCCTAAGACAGAAGAAATGAACTGAAAAATGTGCTTGTTTTCTGGGGGAGAAAACTTGAAACCAAACAGTTCTCAGGGCTGAAAGAAAGCAACTATAATTTATTGACATCACAACTGGGTTTCATAGACTAATGCCTCCATATCTTGAGAGCAGTTTATGAATGTAAATTAGAATCCATTCTGGCTTACAGTAGGGGACAGACATATGCCCTCACCAGTTCTGGGAAGCAGCATAATGCTAAGGCACGTTCATTTAATTAATTGACAGCAGAAGGGAAGAAAGATGAGACTTGGTTAACTATGCCAACAGTGCAGATTGTCCCAATTCGACATGTGGTTGTGGTGAGAAGTGAACCTGAACCTGGCAGAAGAGAAGCAGCAGCCAGCCTGTTCGTTGCCCGTGCCCTCATCACACTCCTCCCAGTGATCTACCAACTGTCAATGTCAACTGTACCTGGGTACCAAGCTTGGGAGTTCCTTTAATGGCTGCTAGAAAGAAAGTAATACCAATTAACTGGGCAAATTGGGGTACCTCACTGTACAGCCAAAGTATCTCCAAATCAAAATAGGTTTCTGTTTTTGTTTTGTTTTGTTTTGTTTTAATTACAAGAAAATACGAAGCAGACCAGAGGGTGAAATAGAAGACAAATCTGTTTGGTGTCAGAGTACCACATGATTCATTCAAACAGAAATTCATTCAGTAAATGATAGTGTGCTTCCCCAGTGACATGTACGTCTGTGCTCATCTGTGCTGTCCTAATCATGTGTGACGAGGCCTGTGCTTTGGGCTTTGTTTTGAATGTACTGGTCCAACCAAAGCATTCTGTCCTAATTCCCTTCTGACAATGGTCACACATCTGAGCTTGTGCTCGATATGGGATAACCTGTGGCAACATAATAGACAACACACAAGGTTTGAGACACAATTTGGGCGACACTGTACCTGATCTAAATAAGCCACACCCTGTACTCTCCATTACTACTTCGTGGGCACATAACATCTAGTCACCGATCTGCTTGGAATGATGATGCATCTGAGAGAAAGGCATGGTTAGTTCAAGCATCCCAAACTAGTCATGCTTAATGGCAACAAACTTAGTGACTGACAAAGCATAAAGGCTAGAAAACGTTGCTACCTGTGCCCTTGAGGGGAGAACCATGTACAAGTCACAAGTGCACAGAAGTGAGGGCCACTCACTTTGAAATACTCCATCACTATAAGAAAATTATTAACCATAAACCCTCACACATCATCTGCTAAAGGCAGTTTTTCTGTACCAACTTTGGAAAGAAAATCCTGCTTGCTTATGTGACTGTTTTCTTTAAGTCCCATGGCAAGATGTGAAAACAATGCACAAGTTAAGACAAGGATGACAACCGCCATTAGGGGAATGTTTTTTAGGCTCTGTCTCTAGTATTACAGATGGTAACTGGCGATTACATGAGCCTGACAAAGCCATACATCTGGCTGGATAATAGAACTCAAGTTCTCAGCTTATCAGTACTGTTGAAGTTACTGAAATAAAGAGGTTGTTGAGAAACAGTCATTGAAGATTTGAATGGCTTCTAGAGAGATCTGAATTAGCTTTTCTTAATCATCTGTGTTTTGTAGCTTTTCATTCTATTTCCACAACAAGAAGAGCATGTGTCCCTTTTGAATGCATTACTAATGAGTGACCCACTAAGGAAATAAAAAGCTCGTAGTCGGCACCATGTGAGCTATAAAACACTGCAACGGGTAATCCCTGGCAGTTTGTTTAAAATGTTAAGGTCTGGGCTTTAAATAAAACTATCATGCTTTATTTTCCTTCCTGCTTAATACTTTAATCCAAAGGACCAAAATGATCTAACCAACAGCAGCATTAAGAGGTATGCAAAAGCTTACTTGTCCACTATCAGCATGTGGCTTGACAGCAGGTGCCACTCATTAGAAAACCAAATTTCCACCCTCCCCTTCCTGATAGGTTTCCAGCGGTATTGTTAGGCCTGCGGTGCCAAGTTACTAATGGGTTACAGTCAGGCCCACAGTACCAAACTATCTGGGGCCCCCATGCTGCTGTCTTATCTTTCAGGTAGTGACTCAGGCCAGAAAGAGGAGTGAGTAAAACTATATCCAGCCCGCGTCCCAGCTACTGGTAATCCATTCTGAAGTATCTAAAAACTGTCACTTGGATAGAAAAACATCACTTTCTGACAACTATCTGAAAGATTTTCCCAGTATATTGAGAATACTACAAATTTCATTCCCTATTTGGATGCCTTTTATTCCTTTCTCTTGCCTGACTGCTCTGGCTAGGACTTCCAATACTGTGTTGAAAAGCAGAGGTGATAGGGGACAGCCTTGTCATGTTCCTGAACATAGAACAATGGGCTTCAGTTTTTCACCATGAATTATATTAGCTGAGGGTTTGTCATATATGGCCTTTATTATGTTATTTTCCTTCTATACCCATTTTATTAAGTGTTTTAACCATAAATGGGTGTTGTATCTTGTCAAATGCTTGAAACCTATGTAACTTTACTAACCATTGTCACCCCAATAAACTGTAATGAAAAAAATACAGGAAAAACAAATTCAGCCATACCTCTTAGCTCCCCCAGCATCGGGTGAGACAATAGTGCAGTTCCTCCACTCAGAGATGTTCTCCCTTATCCACTTCAGGACAGCTGGCTCTGCGTACAAATTGTCCACAGGGATATCAAAAAAGCCCTGTAGGAAGGAGCTGTGTTAGTTTTCCTTCATGTTCCTTCTCTTCCATTTATACTACAAGTTTTTGGGGTTTTTTTCTTTTTTTGTTTTTTTCGCTGAGCCACCCTGCTGCCTGTTGGCAGCTCAGTGACTGCTCAGCTCGGGCCTGGACTCGAACTGCTGTTGCTCAGAGCGCAAACTCTTGAGTGAGCTCTTAACCAACTGAGCCACTCGGCCGGCCCCTCTTCCCTTTATAAATGACAAACACAAATAGAATAGTGACTTGTCCAAAGAATACCTTACTGCAGCATTCAGACTGCTTAGAAGGCACGCCCACTGTGGTAGACTAAAAACGGCCTCCACGAATCCAGGCTGTGCAAGAGAACACAGCCACAATGGGAAGCACCAGTCCCAGGTAAACCAAAAGTGACCACAGGCACATGAGTGAACCCTTAGGGAAAAGGTCCACATTCAGCCTAGACCAGAATTACCCTGCCAATGCAGACTCGCAAGGTAATACATATTTACTGCTTCATGCTAATCAATGTTGGCCTGGTTTCAGGAGTAAAGCTAACTGGCAAACCAGTTAGAGATGCTATAGTATATAAACTGAGTGGAAGATTTTTATAATAAATGGTCACAGAGAGTAACTAGAAGCCAGATCTGTGTTCTAATACTAGTTGCTACAGATTAGTTGTGTTTTTCAACTAATTGTTCCTCTTCTGTAAAATGGGTATAATCACTTGTCCTATATACCTCACTGGATTGCCGTAAGCCTCCAACATTAACAATTTGAAAGTCTCTTTAAAATGTATAAACATAAGGTGGCATTCTGTTCCCCATAGTCTGGGTTTATGCTAGGAAGTAGGTTCCCATATCTGTGGCTCTAAATTTAACGATGACATTAACAGCTCCCATTTATTTGGTTCCTGTCATCAGCCAGGTATTATACTATGAATTTAATATCTTACTTCATACAGTAACAAAGCAGTGTATATTCAGAAGTTAAATAATCTGCCCAAGGTTATAAAGTTAGTAAGCATCACAGCCAGTTTTCAAAGTAGATCTGATCCCAAAGCCTACCCTACCCACAATACATGACTGCCTCCCTTTCCAAGCACTCCAAATGACTAAGACCATAAACTAAGCTTAAAGTGAGGGTGTTTAAAAGGTCGTCAATGTCTAGTTTACTTGAGCTGTACTTGAACAGTTTTTTTCTTCTCTGCAGTCTTCAGCATTATCAGTCCTCTCCTCCCCCCTTTCTAACTCCTAAAACTCTCTAAGCTAATATTTAGCTTCCACTGATACCTGAATTTGAGAAGCATGCAGATCCATGGTGATAATATGATCCGCACCTGCTACGGAGAGCATATTTGCAACAAGCTTCGCTGAGATCGGAGCACGGCTCTAAATGGAGGGGAGGGGGAAAAAAAAGCCAATTTGAGAAACAATTCCTTTGCTGAAGAAGCATTTATTTATTGTGTAACTACTTACTACGTTTATGGCAGTGTGCTACCAGAAAATCCAGAGAAAGTGACATGGTCACTGACTTTGAGTAGATCACAATCTAGCATACATACTAAGTGGAACATCCCTTTTCCAACTCAGGATACAGATTTAGTACAGGACAATACCTTCTTACCTTTCATTTTCTGAACTTAACGTACACATTTGTTCAGCCTATTCAAGTGTTTCCAATGCTCCATTTAAATTAGGCAGACTTATATCTTTTTTCAAAGCATTTTCTTAAAATCTCTTTTAACACATACATACTCAAAACTGTATAACATCTAACATGCCAAAATTTGAAGATACGATAATTTATGTTGTAAATTATATCACTCCCTGATTCATCTGGAAGTCAACCTTCCAGTAACCTCGAGCCCCTTAAATAACAAGTAAACACATCTGCTGTACTGTAAAATGGCAAAGCCCGTGCCCTTTACTCTACACTCTGTAGGAGCACTGCACTCTATTGGGATAAAATATCTTGCCTTCTCCTAGGCATTGTATGTAAAATTTGGGCACTGATTACAATAGACAACAGACCTGCAAAGTTTTATGTATGTGCTTTATCTTTTACTGTGTACCAGATAAACAAGGTGTGTATGTGTATGTGTGTGTGTGTGTGTGTGTGTGTGTGTGTGTGTGTGTGTAATGAGACCAAGTATTCATGTAACAACTTCAAGTTTTAGGAAGAGGTCACAACTACCACCCCAAGAGGGTCCCAAAGCATCTACTAGTTTAAAAAAGTTCTATTTCATGGGAGCTGGTACTTAGTCTTACTGATACAATTAAAAAACAGCAGTGAGCTAAGAAAGTCATATATATATATATATATATATATATATATATATATATATATATATAATAAAATATACAGACTACAAATGTGTTTCTTTATACCAATCACATATCAACTGTTTTGATAATTAGGTAATTCGCAACAGAATGTAAAAAATAA